AGCAATCCATTGGCTGAAAACTGTGGATATCTTTGATGACTTCTCCTTTGATGATTTGTGGAGAAATTGGCTAGTAATAGCCAACACTTCAACAAATAAGGATAGAATTCTGTCAGAATGGGTTCCGCCTTTGGAAAGTGTCATTAAGTTGAACTTTGATGGAAGCAGCCAAGGCAATCCCGGGCCTTCAGGTATAGGGGGTATCCTAAGAAATAAGGACAGAAACGTAATTTCCCTATTCTCAAGACCGGTGGGAGTGGGGGATTCCACAAGGGTAGAAATACTTGCTGCAGTACAAGGAATTTAGATCGCCAACCAGCTTGGGGTAGAGCATCTCCTAGTTGAAGGGGACTCTCAGGTGGTAACCAGGTGGCTCCTAAACTTGGATACCACCATTTGGGGCTACAAAGATCTCATAAAAAAAGTAAAGTGGTTAACCAGCAATATGAGAGTGGAGGTAAAACGGGTTAGTAGGTCTGCTAATTCTTTGGCTGATGCTCTAGCCAAACAGGGGGTATATAGGGAAGATCTTTTTTGTGCTTCTATGTAAGTTATTATTAATTCGGAAATTTGTACTTAACTAGCCTGGAGAGGTTGCAACTTGTACCTTTCCATGAGGACTTTGTACTATTTTATTGCTGATTTATAAAATCATTTCAATTATAAAAAAAAAATTGTTTATCTTACTTGAATTAAAGTAAGCCTATTTTGTTTTTCTCTATTTCAGGCAAAAGTGTATATTTATGATAAAGCTCTAGTCATTTAAATCTCTTTTAACTAACTCTTGGGGTTCTATTTTTGTTTCAATTATTGATTGAGACTTTTAATGTCAATTATTCATGTTTGTCATGATAATAGGGGCTATGATTGCTTGCAAATTGGCTGCGATGGTGCCTGAAAGGATATTGTCTTTGGCCTTGCTCAATGCAACTGGTGGAGGTTTTGAATGTTTTCCAAAGGTTCTCTCTCATACATATGTATTCTTTGTCTCTGCAGTATATACATTCTTTTTCTTTTCTTTTCCATATATGTCAGTCCAAGTTGAACTGACTACTACTACTACTACTACTACTACTACTTAAATGGAGTTACAGCATTATAGTATCCTGTTTCTCTTTGGATTTTTACTCACTTAAATGGAGTACCTTATGATTTGGATAATCCAAAGAGTGCATCCAGTCCATTGAAATCTCTATGACAGTCCAGCCCATTGAAATCCCTATGAGATGACAAGAGCATCCCCTTGATGTTGGACAACAAGGTTTGATCAATCAAGCTCACATTCTTGAATATCTGAGCATTCCTTTCCCTCCTCCAAATACACCGAAAAAGTCATTGGAACCAAATCCCATGAGATTTTACCTCTCTTATTCAAACCTTTCAAAAACTAGCTTTCAAGAAAGGAAAGAATGGATAATGGAAAGCAGCCAGACCAATTAAAAGTACCCAAAACTACACTCCACACCCTATATGCATGCTGTCAGTGTAGAATGATGTTATTAGTTGTTATCAAATCAGCAGAGCAAAAAATACAGCCTGTCTGATCCAGTATCATCCCCTCTGTTTAGAAGCTTATCCTTCGTTAAGCACTTCCTTAAGGGCTAAAGGCAATAGACCAGACAAAGAATTTGACCTTTGGAGGGGCATTGTTATTCCAGATTTTAGAACCAATGAAGGCATTGGGAGCTTCACCAGACAGAAGCTTGTAGTAAGACTTAACAGAAACGGAACCACATAGGAACAGTTTAGTTCATTGAGATTCTTCATCTGATAAGATCTATAGCTGCTTCGTTGTTCAGGTCATACACAAAACATCCCTTGATTACATCTAATGGACTATAGACCTATGTTTGCAGGATCCCTGACCAAAAGGGCATTATTTGTGGGTGGGAAGAGTACTGATGATCAATAATGGAGATACTGTAATTTGTGAACAATACTTTGTTCTTGCTGCAACCCAAAATTGAGCTTTTGATGCATGCAAAATATTTTCAAGCCTGTTAAGTTGTTCTCTCTGGGGTTTAGGAAGTAATTGGTTTTTTCAGTATTTCTTCCCTAAAAACACTATTGTAGTTATAATGGGTCATATTGCATTTATATTAGCTGATTTAATCAAGGGGAACAAATTTCTTCAGAATCTCTATGGCATTTTAGTTTAAAAATCTTGTAACTAGAAATTGTTATCACTTCAGACCTGTCAGATGTTAACTTTATTAAGCAGGGAAACAATTCAACACCTAGTTATCCATGGGAGAAAAGACAGAACATGAATACTGCGATTGCATGATTTGAGCAATTCTTGGTTTCTGGAACTTGTAGATAATGCTAAAGGGGAGATTACATGCGTCTTTAGGAGAAAACATGGTAATGAAAACCAAGATGGTAATTGAGAAATTGAAGAGCCATGCAATGCTAAATGATAATAGCAACTAGAATTGGAAAATACAGAGACTCCTCATGCCATTATTATTTTGGATATCTTATTTTTCTGGTTATTTATTTGGGTATCTTATTTTTCAAGCTATTTATTTGTTTTTCACATTTAAGTTGGCATACATTAAAATTTGAGAAATTTAAGCCAGAGCAATCTAAATTCTATTCCTTCCTACATGAGTATAAACTATAGATTCCCCTCTTGACATAAAGTTGATTAGTGATAACATCCTTCATTTAATTGTGGAAGTAGAAAAAAGTACTCATAGGAGTAGCCCCTCTTCCAAAGTGCTTTGTTGGATGGAACATAAAGCAGGACCAACTTCTAAGTCACTTCAAAACAGAGATCTGCAAACGTTTTACCGGAATGTTGTTTCTTTGCAAGATGAACGAATAAACAAATATCTCTTCTACAGCTTGACTTCCAGATGGTATCCATTGCAATCCGCTTCTTAAAGGCAAAGACTCCTGAACAGAGAGCGGCTGTTGACTTAGAAACCCATTATACAAAGGTTTGATGATATAACTTTTTGTTCTCTTCATCTTCATGGTTCAGGACCATGGCATAATCTTGCCTTTGCTTATTTTTCTCCCATATGAAGTTACTGAAGTGGTTTTTACATCCGAAACTTCACATTAAGTCATGAGCACCTTACCATGTTCATAGCCCACTTGCTTAAAAGTTGAGAGAAAAAGTAAATTTTTAAACTTTTTCTCTATCCACTGAGTGATAAACACATGGTGGATACCCACCAATGGGAGTGTGCTCATTGGATCTCGCCATAGCTATAACCATTCCCACTATAGTTTTAGACCAGTTTTCTGTTTATGTTAAATTCTATGTTCTAACCTGTGGAATATGTTCCCATGTTGTTTCTATACGCATCGGAGATGATTCTGATTATTTGCTTTTGCATTATATTGATAAACAGGAATATCTTGATGAATATGTTGGACCTCACACAAGAAGGACAATCTTATATCAAGTTAAGGATCAGTGCACTTCAAACTTGACATTTTGCATTATAACTTGAAGATTCAACATAACATTTACTTCTTTATTAAGGCCCCGAATTTGTATTTCAACAACCATATGTTAATCAAGCTTACTTGTTTTTCTTGGGCTGCTCTTGGTGCATTCTATACTTTTTCTGTTCCTGTTGTCTTGTTGGAAATGCATAATAATGATAAAGAACTTGATAATAAGAAGGAGAAGAAAAGTTTCTCAGTAGGCATTACAAACAAAGCACTAGCAGAAATCAGTGTTACATCTTACATGGATGCAAACATGGGAATCAAAATGTGATGTATGTTCAGGAGTCTGACTTGGAAAGACAAAAAAGGGACTCGTGGACATGTTGATATAAGCATATGACATTATAAATCCGTAGGAATAGGTCCAAAAGATCATTTTTATTACTTAATAACATTACATAGGAAAAATGGCGTTCATTGTGTATTTTAGCTGTTCATTTATGGTGAATAAACAATGAGAGAAAAATATCACATAAAGTGTCCTTCAAGAATCACATGGAATATCAGGTTTTAATGTGTGTCTGACATGAAAACTTCATCCATTTAGCAGGGTTCATGCAACACTGGCAGAAAGTAGCTAAACCAGTCCAAGATCAAGTTTTTGTAGAATCTGTTGATTATATTTGGATCTGAATTCGGGTCTATATATAGAGTTTTTAATTCAGGATTAAGAGTTTTGAAAGCATATCTCCATTTAAGTGATTAATATGCTATCTGGTTATCATACACTGTCTATTGATCAAATTTGAAATGTCATTTCAGTCAACCTTTAACTGTAAGGTCTAAGATTCTACAAGTGTATTTTCTGCCATAGTGAATGCGAATTAGACTCACAAGTATCTTGAAAATAGTAGTCTTCGTGATTGCATTTGGTTGATCTCTATTGGTCAATAGTGTCCAATTAAAAAAATTGTAGGTTTGCCATCTACAAGGTTTGTACTAGATTTGACTGGGAAGATGTATCGGTTGACCTCCTTGATAAATCCCTCTTGCATAGCTTTTCTTGAGGTCTGATTGTTTATGTGGTCTAGAGGGTTTCGCCAAGTTTCATTTCCCTACTCCAAGTGGTCAGTTGGTGCTTGAAATTACTAGGAGTCATATTTATTTTGAAATATTGGGAAGTTTAGTATTGTCAAGGTTGTTTAATTTCAAAATTCAAGGAACTTTTCTGCATGGCATCAAATGTGGGGTTTAGGGGTCGAGTGATGATTTGGAAGGAACATTTTCACTTTGAGAACCTACCATGTTTATTCATACCAAAGAAAGACTTTGAACTTTTCAATCCAATAATTGATAGACATGGGACTTCTACAATGAAAAGAGCTTCATCCAATAGTCAATCTTTTGGATTTCCTCCATTTTCTTTTTTCCTTTATTCCCTCTTTGATAAAATTATCCCCCAAAAAAGGTGAAGTGTGTGCTTGTAGCATGTTAAAATTATTTAAGAGTTTAACTTTAAACTTCTTCTCTCTGCTGTGAAGCATTGAAACCAAGGTTCATGTATGTGAAATAGATCATGAAAGCCGACAAGCTACTACTTGAGGGGGAAAATTAGTCAAATGAGTTATACTGCACTTGAATTTCCAGGTCTCAACTTCCTAGTTCCTACCTGTTTACTACATTGCCTCAACCCTACTGCAATAGTTCTGTACAGTGTAAGCCTAGTTTCATCTTGGTTATTTACTACTCAATTTTCATGTAAAATTTAATGCATTGATCCATATATCAGAATTTTAGGTTATTTGACCTTGAATAAAATCTAGTATGAATTGCCTATTGATTATTCATGAGATTTTTACTGTGTAAATTTGGCAAAAAGTATTTTTTAGAAGGTAGATAAAAGTTGCCTCAGTTCCGACAATTGTTTGTTCATGAGATTTTACAGTGTCTAAATTTGGCAAAAGAGTTTTATTGGAAGATAAACAAGAATTTCTTTACTTCTGATTCAAGAATCATACATCGAATATTTCAACTGGCATATGTGTGAAGATCACTTTAGCATTACGGGTGTACCACCTATACAACTTTTCTAATTTATACTAGTGCTTATACATGAAAGGCAGTGGTGCCATGCATAAATTAGAAGCAAATCCTATCTTGTGCTTCCATTGTAGTCGTACTTTAATTTTGATATGGAGTTTTCTTTTCCAGAATTCCACATTATGTGTTTGCACTGACTCAAGATAAAACTCCATATTTTGCAGGAATATGTTAGAGGGATCTCATCAACTGGGATGCAATCTAACTATGGTTTTGAGGGTCAAGTTAATGCATGCTGGACCCACAAAATTACATCAAAAGAACTTGAGGTGATCCGGTCTGCTGGATTCCTTATTTCTGTCATTCATGGCAGGTTGATGCTTGAACTTCAAAAATTTGGTAGCCTGTCCTCTCCCTGAGAACTATTCCATCTAATATGTATGTTTTCCCATTTTAATAGGCATGACATCATTGCTCAAATATACTATGCAAGGAAACTTGCAGAGAAGCTGCAACCTATGGCTAGAATGGTAGATCTCCATGGGGGACATCTAGTAAGCCATGAAAGGCCCGAAGAGGTATTTATTCTATTTGCAATGGAACTAGGATATAGATACCTAGTCATTTCATATACATGGAAAACAATTCTCTTATTATTCGGGGGTGGAGACAGGTACAGGACTCTTTTTTCCTTTTGCCATTTTGCATGTTGATTTTCTGATGTAGACCTAAACTCAGATTAAGAACCTGATGTCAGGGTCCTTTTTTTTCAAGTTTTTTTTGTTTCTTTTCCTTGATCTGGGACTTTCACGATGGCATATGTATATGAGTTTCAACTTTAAAATGTCAGACTTATTATTTACACCTTTATTTGTTTTAATTCAGTTAAATGTTCAAAATACCTTAGGTTTGCATTGCAGTACAAGTAGAAAGTAGAAACAAAAGAAAAACTACATAACTTGCAATATAAATTGGTGCGGCAAAGGCAGAACTGGATCACGATAATTTAGGAGCAATACAAGTTCAAGGAACAGGAATGAAATTTAAAGCTTGAGATATTGAGAAGAATTTCCCTGTATTTGAAGTTAGGGATAAGATTTTCCCTAATTGAGAATCCCCCCACCACTCACACACACAAAAAAAAAGAAGAAAAAAGGAAAAAAAAATAAAGAGGAAGAAAGTGGGAGGCTTAAAGTAAGTAAGAGATTCAAGAAACTGGACCCAGATGTGGAAGTGGACAATACAGACAGACACACTGCATGATAACTTACATGCCATGTTGATTGGCACATTTGGAGAGAGAAATCTGTGTAACAAATACAATTATGTTTCAGAGAAAAATATGGTTAAACGTAACACCAGACTACTCAATTGTGATTATTTAAGACTCCACTAATTTTGTTATGTTCAAACAAATCCCTCAAATTCTTGCTTCGTGAACTGTTTTCAGTGTTGACTTCCTCTATTTTCACTTCTTTGCACAATTAAGGCTAATGCGATATTTTGATTTAGAATGGCAGGAGCCTCGTGCACTGGGATGCCCTTTTAATGGTTTTGCATATTGTATAATAAATCTGTTCCTGGAAATGAAACCCAAACTCTGATTAAAAAAATAATCTTTTCAGGTCAATCAAGCTCTTATAGAATTGATCAAGGCATCAGAATCAAAGTTGAGTCCGCATGATTGGACAAACTTACCCAAGAAAGAAACTGGTACTTTTTTGACAGACTGAAGCAGATATCAGATCAGCAATAATAACAGCCAATGAAAATAACGAATAATCTCTTTGCTAATTTAGCTGTTCTCTCTCAGGGTGGCGTGAGATGGAGACTCAGGTATCATTAAGAAGAAGAAATACTGAAGACAGAAGGTGTTTACACTTCATGTATGACATTCTAACAAAGTTTCATCTTAGCCTTTTGTATTTCTTTGGTCTCTTTGTGATGGCATTTGAATATGGAAAGAAAGCTTTCAGAAGTTTAAAGCCAGTTCGAGTTGGGGCCTCCCTCTCATAGAAGGTATTTGATTAAAGCCTCCTCTCTAGTAGTGGTTAACCAAATATCTTGGGGTATCAAGGATAGGGTTCTCTTTATAATAATGAAAGAGCTAAAACAAAGTTTCTTCTGTTGTTTCAGGCTGGGATTAATCCATCATGTCAACATTGTGGCACTTCCAAAAAGTAATCAGCTCAAGTATATAACCGCCAAAGTACCAAATGTATAGCAAAGAGATACATACACAAGACTGCAACTAACTTCCTTAATCAAGACAATAATCGTGTGCGTGTGCTTTGTGGAGCTGATCAGACAGGATTGCAGTAGCATGATCAGATGTAAAGATCAAAGAGGCTTTAAACGTTAAAACTAGGTTATGGTATTTGGTCCTACTAGTTTTTAAACTCACACTGAAGGGGGGTATGATTAGGGAGTTGAATGCTTCTCCTAGCTAATCCCAGTAGGTCTTGTTAAACTAGATATTGAAACTTGAAGTTGTGTATCAACAGTGAAAAGTTTGTACTGCATACACATTCGGAATAAAAAGGCTAAAAACTTGCTTTTGTTTTATAAATTATGTGGAATTACTTAAGTGTTCTGTGAATCTAATAAACTATCAAAATGGCTTTCTCAATTTAGACATATGGTATTTTCTAAGAAGTTGTTGTTAAACCCCACAGCCCGTTACCACCATTTACACAAATGGCTTTCTCAATTTCTAGAAAGCTAGACACATGGAAATTTCTAAGAAATTTCTGTTAAAACCCACAACCCACTATCAGGCTATAGCCCCCATCATTCAGACACATGGTCTTCTCATTTTTCTAGAAAGCTAGACACGTGGCATTTTCTAAGAAGTTGCTATTAAAGCCCACAACCCACTACCACCATTTTCAATCCATTCCTAAAAAATGTAGAAAATGCAAAAGTAGTTATCCACAACCACTTCTGTCTATATTCTATCAATCTTAGTTAATCATTAACTCTCTACCTATCATAACAAAAGAAAACTACCTATATTCTAATAATTATTGAAAAGTTGTTTTTTGAAATAAATATTTCTTGAAATTTTAATAATTATTTAAAATATTAATAAATATAAATTTAACATTATTGATTCTATAATGTAAATTTAACATTACTAATTCCCCATACTTAGTACGGGGTCATTCATTAGTATATATATTAAAGGAAGGTCTTCAAGCTACATCTCTCACCATTCAAACATGTAGCATTCTCATTTTTTTTTGGAAATCTAGACACGTAGCATTTTTTCGAGAACTTGTTTTTAAAACCCACAACCCACCACCACCATTCAGACAAGTGGCCTTCTCGTTTTCTGAAAAGCTAGACATGTGGTAATTTTTGAGAAGTTCTTGCTAAAGCTAACAGCCCACTACCAAGCTACAGCCCCCCACCATTTAAACATGTGGCCTTCCCATTTTTCTGGAAAGCTAGACACATAGCATTTTCTGAGAAGTTACTGTTAAATCTCACAGCCCACTACCACTATTCAAACACGTGACCTCATTTTTCTGGATTACCCGCACAACTCCCATCAAAGTTCAACTTCTTCCAGCCATCTGTTGGAGGAGGCCATGCCTCAAAACTGTTTTCTCGTAGATGAGGAGGTAACAATAGGTCCCCAAACCCTAAAGTCTTCAACATTAAAAGTTGTAAACAACTTCAAGCTTTTTAACCAATGTGCCACTCTCAATGTTATTGTTTCGACTAATGCTTCCAGCTTCCTAACATTTTTCTTTTCCTTCAAATATTCGTGCATTTTTTTTCTTCCCAAACAGTCCAAAATAGTGTTGCTCTAGTACACCTCCATAGAATCCTACCCCTCCTTTTCATGCCACTAATACCATTAGGCTGGAATAAACGTTTCATCTGATGGACTTCTCTAGCAGCCCAAGCCTTTCTACACAACCTAGTTCGGCATACCCATCTATATCTCGGGGTTGCAAAGTTGATTTTCTTCTCTGCCCCATGTACAGTCTTCCATTCTTACTCATGTTTGCTTTTTATATGCCAACAAGAGTCTTGCAATGATTCCTGCATCTCTATATGAATTAACTTCACTCATGACCCCCATTCATAGGGCCATAATGATGCCCTCCAACAATGCTAATTGCTAAAGCTTCCGTGACCACTGCAGGAAGAGGATCAAATGACCCATAATAGATAAGAAACTCTCTAATATATGCTATTCGATCCACTAGACTACTAGATGTTAATGATTCTAATCCACCAATCAACGATATTGTTATCCTCTTGTCCAGGGCCTGTATTTCAGGAAAACGTGGCCTTCATCCTCCAATTAATGGGGGTACTAAAGCTGTAGTTGCAGTGATGAAGCCTCCAAAAAATTTAGCTAGCTATAGCTTTGGCATGGACTAGAATGATCAATTGGTACACAAAATGAAACGGGCATCATTCACAATTGGCAGTCCAAGATTGCAGGAATATGCAAACTCTGGTTTTGAATTGTAACTTGTAAGAGCAGGGTTTAAAACTCGAACTCGACTAGTAACATTTGATCTGAGGTTCTGACATTAAATTATGTCATCGACTCGGGAAGACATAATTAATGGCATACATTTACAGGGATCAGACTTCGGGATTTGACCAACCCCTAAAGATTATAACCTAAATAACCTCGGTTATTCTTGTTTTCATGAAAACCCCGTCTGTGCGACAAACCTTGAAAGTTGTAACTAAACAAATCCATGTTCTTCCTTCTTTTGTGCGTACCTGTTTATTAGTTTTTTCCCTTAAAATCAACAAAGTTCAGTATGTAGTAGATGTTTGTAACAGAGTAAATTGATATACGTAAGTAAAACTGCTGTAACACCATAAATATTTTCGAGAAAACTGAACTGATATGAGAGAGAAAGAGAGGCGCTTACCAGTTTGAGAGAGGAATAGACAGAGCGCTGCAGTGACTGTTTTCCGTTGCATTTATATTCCCCTAGTTCTATTTAGTTCGTGAAGAAGAGTTGTGAGAGAAAGGAAGCAAAGTAAGCTTCGGAAACGAAAGATTCTATGCGGGAGAGAAGATTCTCTACCGGTCTAAGTCTATAATATGCCATCGAATATTCACTCTTCTAAGACCTGACGTCACAAATTAGCTTACTTGGAGTTGGGGGTTATTTCTAGACTCCACAAGGTTATTTTCGCAATTTAAAAACAACCGATTTCAATTTGTTGATGGAGCCTCAGCCTTCGCTCTTGTTCAAGGTTTAAAGTATACATTTAAGAGAGTATACATTTAAGATATGCATGGATATACTAAAAAATTTATACAAATCCTAAAAACATATGTTAATTACAATAAATATGAATTTTATATCATCATAAATAAGCTATTTAAACATAAAAATCCATATTTCAATGATTTATAAAATGTGTAAAATATTGAGACATAATTGAAAATTATTGAAAAACGATGAAAGAATTAAAATGTTTGTGTATGCATATATACCATAGAATTTAAAGAATCAATATAATTTGTATTAATATTTACATTTTTAGAAAATAGGACCGATTGGCCTATTGTACTGATTGGACCATGACTAAATTGGGTTAAAAATTTACCTAAATTGCCGACCCGACTAATCAAACTCGAAAACTAGTGAATTAGTCTTGGGTTTAGACAAACAACTGATTTTTAAATTATTTTAGCACATCAATGCAAATTTCTAAAAGCCATAACTTTTTGCTCAAATGTCCTAATGGGGTGACCTTTGTTTTTATTTTGGGTAACTCTTCAACATTGGTGCCTTATAAAAAAATTGAAATTAAAATAAAAAATATATGTTATAAAAGAATATAATTATATAATTTGAATATATTAGAATCCAATAATATATATATATATATATATATATAATATTACATCATCACAATTTGACCTCAGTTGAAACTCTAACCTATGAACCTCTCCCTTTTTTGGGTCGATGTCCAGCCCAATTCTCTAAACATTGATATTTGTTATATATTTTTTAATGATGAATTTTAGCTTTTATTGGTAGTCAGCCACTAACATACGAATTTAATTAAGAATTAAAATATAAATTTATATGACAAATATTTGTGGTATGGCATAGTGGTGGACTTGTAGTCGTTATAAGCAAATGACTTGGGTTTAAATCCCTTTGCCCCCATTTATTCTTTTAAATAGACAAGCTAGTGGCATGCCAAATTCAAATTCGAATTTGAACATTGCCTTAAATGCATTATTCAATTTGACTTTAATAGCATGTTGTTATTTTGAGTTGTATCGGTCGATACAATGTGGGAGTCCGGAACAAACTGATTAGTGGTGTGGCTGGTGACAAAACTCTAGCTTCCCAATGTGGGAGTCCAGATCTCCGGTGTGGGCGGAAATGCACTTTGAACCGAACATGTTAGAGTTTACATGCAAAGTTAAAAAGTATTTTAAGAAAGGGCGTGTCTTGAATACGTATAGGAGAAAAATTAAGATACATGGACATATACATGGAAATATAAAATATTTTGATAAATTTATACTACTTTAAAAACATGAATTGCCTCAAGAATATTTCTGTAATTTTCTGAGGATAAAATTCATCCCTTCATATTTAATTTTTTTGATAAAAAATGAGGGCAAATATGGTAATTGGTTATTGATATTAAATGAGTTGAAATGAGGTAATTTTAAAATATTTAATGCATTTGATTCTCTCTCAATAAATCCAACATTTAAGTTATTAATTTGAATTCATCTTCATTGAATCATATATTTAATACATTTTTGTTTATTCTCATCATTAAATTCTATTAATTAAATACATACATAATAAATTGATAATTTCAATAACATAAAAACTTATACTTTTAAAATCTACCTAAAAAATAATGTTTTTCATCTAAGTGGTGGTAAGCACAAATAGCCTCCATAGTTCATATTTAATTTTATAGATAAAAAATGAGGGCAAATAGGGTAATTGGTTATTGATATTAAATGAGTTGAAAAGAGGCAATTTTAAGATATTTAACGCATTCAATTCTCTCTCATGAAATCTAACATATAAGGTATTAACTTGAATTCGTCTTCATTGAATCATATATTTAAGACATTTTTATTTTTTCTCATCATTAAATTCTATTAATTAAATACATACATAATAAATTAATAATTCCAATAATATAAAAAAACTTATACTTTTAAAATCTACCTAGAAAAAAAATAGTATTTTTATCTAGGTGGTGGTAAGAAATTAAACCATTTTGGGTCAAATGGGTCAATCCATGTTGCCACAATTAAATAATAAAGTTAAAAAATAGATAAAATGCAAAAAAAAAAATAGAAATTAAAAAAAAATGAGAACATTTTTTACACCATATATTCTACATATAGAACAATAATAAGTATGATAAATACCAAATGTTTTTATTAATGATGGAAAATGAGTGCAAAATTTAAATTGTATATTTAAGATATATTTTTTAACATTAAATTTTACTAATTTTAATAATATAAAAATAAATATTTTGAAAAGTTATTTGAAAATAAAACCATTTTCTCCCTCCCAGTGGTAAGTAAAC